AAAAAAAATGAAAGTAAGACAAGTATAGTATCAAGAGCGTTTACTGAATTTTTGTAATGAAGGATAAGTTACTAACGTTTGCACGGACCAGGGCACTACGAACCTATTGCAGACCAATGGCATAGGTGATTAATGCCGGCGCACCATCAGTGCTCAGCTGATCCGCCACCCTAGCTCTGCCCAGCGCCTCAGCTGCGCTGCCGCCGGGTTTGCAGAGGTTTGGCGGTGCCTTAGTCTGTGCAATCGACTGTGGCTACGAAGAGAGGGCAGATTAGGCTGACTCAATGAGGGGTGTAGGGTGGAAGAACAAATCCGGGGAAATGCTTGTCACCAAATCTTGCAAACTTCTTGGCACTCTAAGCAAAATCAGAAGAGGACTCTCTGCTTATAGTTTAAGAGAACGCGAGAGAAGTTGGGAAGTGCCAAAAATTTGTAGGCGTATAAGGTTTGCGCCCTCCGCGTGCTTCCATTCAATAACCACCTTTCTTAGCGATCGATTGAGTTTATCTGCATCCATCACTGGTACAGACTTATGCTTTCTCGTTTGTAAGCGATGCTCATCCACAAAAGGATGCATTTCAAATAATTTGATCGTATCACCGAGAGTCATGCCTGAAATATGCTAAATTAGAAGTTTAGGATATCAAAAACAAGTTAAAACTTAATTTTGCCGATCATGGACTCATCAGTGAAATCTTCCCACAGTTTCAACCAGTGTTCGTTTAGGTCGGTGCTGTCAGCAAAAAATTGCTCTTCACCTAAAATGGAATATAAAAATGATGTGATTGGCTTCAGCAACGTATGCGTTTGAATTGATGAAGGAGAATCAAAACACATGAATTATAATAAAAAACTACCTTCATCATCTTCCAAACAGAAATATGCACACCATAGAGTCCACTTTGTTGATCGAAAATCTAGACGGACAGCAAGCACAGATTCAATAGCGGTTTCTACTATCTGCGAGTTTAAAAGATGTGTAAAAAGTTGTTAAAATAAGAAAGAGTACTCACTAAAGTAAGGTAAGATACTATTGTGGCTGCAATTTCTGAAAACTGCCTGTGCTCAAAGACATGGTCATGAACTATGTGGTAGACATAACCCATGGGTGATCCTACCTAGAAGAGAAAAATAACTGGCAATCAGACAATCCAAAACTTAAACCATCGCTTAGTTCGCAAAAGCTCTATGAGAGATTGGAGACAGCAGATGCTTTCTTCTAGGTTACTTAAAAGAAGAGTGCTATCTTGAGAGTTAGCTGCTCCATCAATATAAATCATAAGGATAACACAGCCATGCATATCAATAAAGCATTCAAAAGAAAAAAACGTATTTTCAAAGCATTTCAGGATAACTAAGCAGATACAACAATGATATATCCAAAAAAGTGGATATCTCAACGTAGTATGAAGCTCTCAAGTACTATTCCAAGAAATACAGCGGAAAAGAATTCAAGGCCGGTACTACGAGTGGAAGAAACTCATACCGTAGCTCCACAATCGCAAGCAACTACGGGAGAAGCTCCTGCTCTGCTCAATAACCTTGACTCGTCATGACGTATATGAGAAGCAATATGATGCACTATGGCCATTCGATCTGTAGGAGTAAGCAAGGAATGACCGCATTCAGCACGTGCACATTGGATATGCTGCAAATCATTCTATATTTTAAAAAATCGCTAAAATGATTTTGCTATTATCATCTGTGAATATTCAAAAATTTAATTCTCGATTTATGATTTTTCTTTTGTTATGGGGAAAAAACTTATTATAGTGAGGCGCACTTTGAGAAACAGTGCCTCACTTACTTGATCTATGTTGTAAGTGGCGATGCCGGGAAGGTCATCATTTTCGCGAGCACTGCTATCCGCATCACTGCTAAAAATAGGAAAGAAGCTAATTGTTCGATTGATATTTGAAGAAGATGTAAATCTGACCTCTCCGTAGTTTCAGTGGAATTGGAATTGCTCCTAAATGTATCTCTAAAGGACCAAAGTCCAGAATACTTTCCTCTGACTATAAAGTGCAGATGGACGGTGAAAAATATTTGAAAATTCAGATGCTGTCACCTCTGCCAGATCTAGCTTTTCTCTTTTTACGCAAAGCTTCTGGAGCACGAAAAGGATTGCCGTTATTGCCGTGCAAAATCCGATATACTACGGGAACACAGATTCCGAAAAGCTAGAACATTACTGATTAAAAGGCTACGTGACCAATTTCAAATGAAATCGGGTACCTTCGTTAAGAGGTCACTGTAAACTCGCTCCATGATGCGGGAGTTGATAGTTCCACTAAGATCTGTCAAATGCTCTTTTTCAAAATACTCTTCAAGACTGAAATCCATACAGCTCAGCAAGCGTTGATCCTGAAAATAGCGCAAAAGAAACGAATGAATAATAAATTAAATTGAAGAGCACCAACCGCAAACGAGGCATCAGTTCGACCAGGAAGCTTATTTGCTTCTTCGCGGATATGTGATCGAACATGTAAGGAAATCTCTTCCCGCATTTTACGAGGATCATGAAACGTCTTTGGTGCCCATTCACAGATGAGACATGCGATGAAACTCAAAACAAAAACTGTAAAAAAGGCGTAGATATCTAATTTTAATTACATTTATTTAAGACTTCCTGCGCGCGCACCCAAAATGCGTAAACTGAAAAAAACGTGGATGTCGCTAAAGCTTTACTTAGGAGGATTATCTAATCATGGAAATCATATCCCATCCCGGAAAGGCCCTGCGGTAAGGTTACGGCCGATTGGTTGTGTTTATCAAGATTGCATTCTGCTTTAAAAAATCTAGTAAGGTTCACTATGGCACTTTCTAGTAGAAATTAAGCATACAGTACGGTGTTAGAACGTGTTAGAGCATATGCTTCCAGCGTTCTCCTAAGGCATTATTTAATGCTGGTCAAATCATACTCGTTCCATATCATATTTGCTGTGAAGTTACAGTATCGTTATATATAGGCCCAACTTTCTCACAGCTTAGTTTCGTTGAGGATTACTCTTTGACCTAGCTAATGCTGTGCCACGTGCCCTAGTGTATTGCTATACCTTGATTTTTTTGATCAGATGGCAACTTACTGCTCCTGATTTTCAGGCAGCTCTGGTGCTAAATCTCTACCGTTCACACCATAATCCCGTAATAAGGCCTTTTCACAAACAATCGACAGTTAGAATAACTTAACGCCGCTGGAGCTTTTTAGACGTATTCGTTATCTGCAGTGACTACTATCTACCTATCCACACCCCTATCGTACGGCTGAAGTCGGAATAGGTATGGTTTTCGAGGCCCTCATGACGCCTTTGCCCGAAGTTTCACCGAAGTTCAATTTCGAAAATTTGAAGCCCCATTTGTCTTATGCCGATGGTTCCTACTATGAGGATACTGGAAACACAAAATTCACCTCACACCATCCATTTGCTCACGGCGTCGCGGCTCCTGCTCCACTACAACGTCACGAGACCGGCTTAATGTCTGACTGATGCCTACTTCTTTATCCGTGATTGTTGCTTGGTCCTTACTGGTATTCCACTCATTGCCCAAATTGAACCCTATGTTATTTGATGTTCCCTGAAAATAGATTTAGGACAAAAGGTATACTGAACACATTGATGAGCAGATATGGGAAACCAACAGAGAAACAGAACCTGCGTGACACTCGGCTCAGAAAAGTTTGGTGAATGTTCGACGGTGCTAGACGTAGGAATGTTGCACTCACTAGTAAAGGTATTTCCACCGGAGGTGACGGCTTGGCACTGCAAGAAAAAGAGATTATCTTTCCACAAATCCTACGAGATAACATCCCACTTTCGCAATGTATTATTAATGTTGGGTAAAAAATATTTATCGAGACCTTGACTTTGGACGTTCAATGATATAAACGAAAATGTATTCTAATATTCGCTAGTTTGTTCATTGGGCAGATGATAGCAAAAATTTTACTGTAGCTTTCTTGAAATCTTCTAAACTGCTGTTTATAACGCAGGCTCTCTGTTTTCTTTTTTTATCTCTTAGTACAGAAGTTCGGATAAAGAAGAAAAAATCTTGGCTTTCATGTGAAGTGTGAGGTCTAATCATCATTTGATTATTTTTACACATGGTATACTGAATGCGTATATAGATAAGTGAATTTTTATCTATAACGCATGCTGGAGATTGCTTGAAACACGTTTCTAGGGTTCACTTTTTGGTCACAGCTATTAGCTAAGGTTTGGATGATCCTGTCAGATAGCCTTTTACACCAACTTTGAAAAATGTCTGACGCTGCTCCTCACCGCTTATCCACAGTAATCCAGATTATGGGCTTACCGTGCAAAATAAATATTAGGTCCGCATGATCTTGCAATAACGCAAGTCACTTTTTTATTCTGTTCCTACTCTAGGGGAACGTTGTGGTCGCACGTCAAAAGAAAGTGGGTTGCCTCTATTCAAGTTGAAGTTGATTGCTGGATTTTTCGCCGCGAAGATGGCGCCTGAAGGCTTTTTAGTAGCTGAACAGATGCTATACATTCGTGGTTAAAGCGTTTCTGACGAAATAATAGATCTTCAATATAACTTCAGGAATTGCTAGCGTAATCGAGGCCACCACACTTGCGTCCATGTCGAGAAATCCCTAGGAGAGCCCATCTCGCCAGCAACGAAAGTTTTCTTCTCTCCAAGAAGAACTTCGGAAGGCTTTGGTAGATAAGCTTTTATCTCCATAACGAATCCTTCAGAAATTCTTCAAAGATATTCGCAATGAATAACGGCACATAGTGCAGATAAGCTTATTGCAAACATTTCCGACTTTCTTTGATTACTACTGATTAGGTTCTAATACATTCTTACAAACACTGTCGCAAGATTTCAGTTTCAACTTAGCATAATTTATGTTATTACTCCACCTAGACAGAAATTTAGCAAGATTTGAACTTGAGCCTAGACAAATAATAAATAAGATTCAGAACTGAGTTGTCAAACATAAGTTGCGTAAATAACAAGTAATAATCCGAAGAAGATAATTTAACCCTACGTTTGGTGCAGTTTCCTCTTCTCTCCGTAAAGATTCTGCGTTCACTTGAAGGGAACATTTCTCCTCTATTTCATCCGAACTAGCATTTGATTTAGCGTCACCATCACTCTACAATTCAGCTATTTAACAACACAACCACAAGGCCAAGCATACGCCAAAAGGACTTCTAACACACAAAAGAAAGGTTTTGAGAAGAGGGAAAAGTGGAAAAGGGTGCACAAAGAACACAAAGAAATTCTGCCAGTTTCAGTTCACTAAAAACTTAGACATTCCAGCTCTTATGATGGGAAAAAAAATGAAATCCTATAATCCGAACGCGAAGAAATCGCGGTCGCTCACTTGGTTCACATAACCAATCGAAGTTGGGCTCTGCCTTAAAACCTTGAGCGCTGACCTCAACTTACCAATACGATGGTATCGCTGTCATCGTCGGCAGTAGTTGACTCGGTCCTTACTTCCGAAATTCTGTGAAAAAATAGTTTTTGAATAGTATATCATGAAAAATAACTGCCCACCTTTCTTGCAACAATGGAGCTATTTCAAGAGAAGAACGTATCTCTCGAAAAGTTGTGAATAGATACCGAGGATCAGAAAAATCACACACCATTTCGTCCCGCAGTGTATCCCCATGCTCTTGTTCGAGGTGCTCAACCTAAACTTTAAACATTCCCTTCCTTAATGTGCTCATAAATCATCAACTATGCAAAACAACAAAGGTGGCAAATTTAGAAATTGGCCAGCATGAATTCTCTTATCGTCTTCTATAAAACTATGTATTCGACACGTGGATTGCACATATCGCATGCGGCGCACGATGCCGCACCTTCTTAGTGCTGATAATCGCCTACCATTGTTCAAGCTTGACTATTGAATTAAAGGCATTCCCAACGAGTCGTAAACTTATTCTGATTATCGACTGCAAGGCCTTGCTGTGAGATTGCCGAAAGTTTAATATACGAGCCGACTTCTACGTACTCTGATAGAGATAACGTGGAGTTAGCTGCAATAATGACTTTGAAACATGTTGATCTTCCGCGTAATTTTTGCCGAGTACTTACTGACCTACTTTTTTCGCATATCCGTCGGATTTCAGAAGAAATATAGTATGAAACAGATCACTAATAGATAAAAATTCTAGAACTATACGCTCAGAGTGTAACTATCGTAACACTACACGATAATATTCGGAAAGTTCAAGTTATCAGCACTACAGATTAGGGTATTTCCAGCTGAAGATCGGCCGATCCATAACGCTTATAAGCGCAGTCAGAAATAATGCGCAACGCAACCGCCCACTCTCAATCCCAATCCTTATTGCGCCTGCGAGCGTTATGAGGAATGGCCGTTCTATCGCTAATCTTCATAAAGTATGCAGATACTCTTGCTACAACGAAAGCTCTACAAGCAGATGTAGAAAAAACTTTGGTCCTTTTTTTGCATTCTGAAAAACTATATTCAGTTAAGGAGACAAACCAGGTCATTTTTAGAATCTATGCTTATTTACAAGTAAAATATAATTGTCCCCTTTCAAATGATAATTCACATGATACTGGAAGAGTGAGCTTGGATTATCAAGCTACACAAAGCTAATTATAACGACGGAGGTGTAACACAGAATGCGAAAACACACTGAGATAAGAATTGGGAAGGTTTAAAGAGTAGGAGAAGTGAAAAAACTCACGAGATCAAGATCGTTGAACATGCAGCCGAAAACACAAGCGACTTCGCTAGTTTTTTGAGGGAGATCACAGATTGGACATATGAGCACTGGAGAAGGTTCAAGAAGTGCTTCAAACGCAATCCGGTGAGCTGCAGCATGCGCACGTCCTCTATCCGAATCACGCAGCGACGTGCCAGAGACCTAAACATTTTAGAAGTAAGAACATACACCCTCGATTGGAGCATCAACTTTTAGAAGAAAATTGACAACAGAGAAGCTGTCGAGTAAAGGAAAAAAGAAATGCTAGTGAAAAATGTGAACAAGAATTTCAAATTGCAGACCTGAAACATGGGACAGTACTTGCACTCGTAAAAAGCAGTTGGATTGATCACTGCGCCGTTGGTTCTGCTAGCAACGGCGTCGTACAGGTCGCCCACAGCGAACTCCACCATAACATGAAGGACTACTCCTGCGAAAAAAAGCGTGTTTCTATTATCGTTGGGCTGATTACAAATGTTTATAATCTTTGCAACAGTTGCATCTATTTAGAGAATTTATAGATAGAACAAAGATCATTCCTTCATTTAATAAAAACTTTCTTTTCCAAAAACGGAGATAATACAGAAATCGTGCACAAGTAGATATATAAGGGGGCGGTCATCACTTGCGAGTGATAAAAACGCAAGCATCGCGTGCGGCAGATTACGCAGTGCGGCGGTCGGACAGCTCGGACAGCAGAGCCATCGTGCAGAATCATAGCAAGATAACCTGTGTAGATTGATCAGCTTTAACCCCGATCAATTCGAAAGACTCGAGCAAAGAAGGGCGTACTGCGACGTTAGCTGTCTGTGAATTTCAAGAAATAAAGTGAAAAATTACAAAATCTTTGGAAGTAACAGAAGAAAAAAAGGCGAAAAGAGAAATCACGGCGACTGTGTTGTAAACAGATCACTTAATAACTTCCCTTAAAAATAATTACACGACAATAAGATTAAAAGTGCGAAACAACTCTGTACGTTCTGACAACAAAACAAAGATAGATTGCGTAGTCTTAGAATTGCTAAGCCCCCAAAACAAAACGCAATAAGTGGGATTGTTATAGCAAAGCCTTATATTCTAATTCCCTAAGGGGCTCGACCTCTGGATTGAACCCCGGATCCCTGAGCAAGGTCTGCAATGCTGAGACGACTTCTTACTCCCCGGCTGCACCAATGATAACCGCGCATGCGGAGGGATTTTGCTGATAGTCACAAGTGATGGCACATACCCAGATATGTGTACTCATACAATTGGCTGATGAACTTAGACTAACTTACCCAGCGTAAGCGCATACATCAAGTGTGGGACTTCGTCAGGACGGCTGATAGGATTGGAATATGGAGCTCATGGTTTTTTCTAGATATTTCGAAGTGTCTAGTGTTACATTAACTGCA